AAATGGTAGGCCTTTATGGAGTAGTTTGAATTCAAAACCTGCTAAGATGATCAGAAATTGCACATGGACCCAGTGTCTACTTTTACAAATGGTAGGCCTTGAAATATGGGCCCATCAAATTCACCTCTCAAAATTCTACTGTAATTACTGAAATGGATAGGTCTCATTTATGGCACTGTAGCATCACGAAATAGTGCCAAAGATATACAATGGGGATATAATTTTACTCAGAAGACTTAGCTGAGCATCATTTAGGGGCTTTGATCATATGTAATCTGTATGTAAAAAATGCCCCAAATTATTTTTTTACCACACACTTTGACTTATATTGGTGAAATCATGGGGGCATGTTAAGGCACAATATGCACCAAATGAGATACCATGGAGTGTCTACTTTTATAAATGGTAGGCCTTTGTGGGGTTCTTTTGAACAGTAGGCCCATCAAGTGCGTCTCTCAAAATTCTACTGTAATTACTGAAATGGACAGGTCTCCTATATGGCACTGGAGCTGCACAAAATAGTGCCAAAGACATTCATTGGGGTGTCATTTATTTAGAATACTTGGCTGAGCATACTTTTGGGGCTTTGATCTTAGTGACACATATCAAATATACAAAATGCACAGCAAAAATTTAATCCATATGTTGAAAAATGGGGGCATGTTAAGGCACAATATGCACTATATGAGATACACTGGGGTGTCTACTTTTACAAATGGTAGGCCTTTGTGGTTTTTTTTTTGAATAGTCAAACTGCTATAATACTCCAAATTGAAACATAGACCCATCAAATCAGTCAGAAATTCTTCTGTAAATACTGAAATGGACAGGTCTCCTATATGGCACTGTAGCATCACGAAATAGTGCCAAAGACATACAATGGGGGTATTGTTATACTCAGCAGATGTAGCAGAACACAAAATAAAGTTTTGTACAGGATTAGCACACACCAACTTTACGAAATACACATGAGAAGAACTTTGTTATAAGTTTGTGTGTCAAAAACAAAAAAACTCACCATTTTATTCCAATATTACCATTGGAGATTGGCGGTGAAATGGCTACGTAAAAAGTGTCAACATAACCTTAGGTAAATAGCCTGTGATGTCTACTATATATATATGTATATTTTTTTTTTTTGTCTGGAAATTTTGTTTTCTTTTATGGCTATTAAGCTTACAAGACAAACATGCCAAAATTCTAAAATCGCTACACATTAAAAGTTTATTTTACTCCTTGTGTTTTGTGACCTGTAACTACCAAAAAACTTAAAATCCTAGACACATTATATATTCTGTAAATCAGAACAACTAAATTAATGTATTTTTAATGACTTTCTTTAACCTGCACTAAGTATGCACACATTATTATTGCAAAAACTGTAAAAAAAACTATATTTTTCCTTTTTTAAAACATTTTTTGTATTTTTTTATAATAAATAAGCATTTATATATGTATATGTTACATCAAATTAAAGCTGTTTCTGTTCTTTAAAAGACGGTATATAATATGTGTTGGTGCAATAAATTAGTAAAATTGAAATTGCAGTTGAACGCAAATAGCAAAAAATGCTTGTGTCCTTAAAGGGACACTATAGTCACCAGAACAACTACAGCTTATTGAATTTGTTCTGGTTAGTAGAATCATTACCTTTAAGCTTTTTGCTATAAACACTGTCTTTTCAGAGAAAATGCAGTGTTTACATTACAGCCTAGTGATAACTTCACTGGCCACTCCTCAGATAGCTGTTAGAGATCCTTCCTGGGTCATGGCTGCCTACAATGCATCCAAACATTCAGTATCTCCTCCCTCTGCATGCAGACACTGAATGTTCCTCATAGAGATTCACTGATTCAATTCATCTCTATGAGGAGATGCTGATTGGCCAGGGCTGTGTTTGAATCATGCTGGCTCTACCCCTGATCTACCTCTTTGTTAATCTTAACCAATCCTATGGGGAAGCATTGTGATTGGATCACGTCTGATGATGTCAGCAGACTGCTTGTTTTTTTGAGGCAAAAAGCATGAAGATCTGCAGCTTCAGGCTTCAATACAGTAAGATTTTTCTATATTTATGGAGGCATGAGGGGCTCAGGGGGGCTAGATGGTGGTTTTTAACACTATAGGGTCAGGAATACATGTTTGTGTTCCTGACCCTATAGTGATCCTTTAAGTGTCAGACAAGCTTTTGAAGCTGTGTCCTTAAGGGGTTAAATGATTTTAGGCTTGGGGAATATTTGAAAGTATGCGGGAGGTCGTTCCATAATTACGGTGCTCTGTAGGAAAAGGAGGATCGAGGCGCTTTCTTTTTGTATTGAAGTAGACTAAATAAAGTCCTGGTACTGGATCGGATGTTATAGGAGGTGGGAACAGCCAGGGAGAGCATTCTGCTCAGGTATGGTGGGAGCTTCCCAGAAAAGCGCTTAAACACAAAGCTGGAAAGATGAAGGGTGCGTCTGGATTCCAGCGACAGCCAGTTTAGTTCTTTTAGCATGTCACAACGGTGGGTCATGTAATTACATTGTAGCACAAAGCGGTAGAACGAGTTATACAATGAATTAAGCTTATTTAGGTGAGTTTGCAATGTACATGCATATACTACATCCCCATAATCAATGATTGGCATCAGCATTTGCTGTACAATCTTTTCCTTTAATGTAGGGCTTAGGCAGGATTTGTTTCTGTACAGGGCACTTAGTTTTGGATAAAGTTTTGATGCAAGTTTTTCTATGTGGAGGCGAAAAGATAGATTGGGGTCTAACAACATATCCAAGTATTTGAAAGAGTGGACTGCGGTCAGTGTACCATTTGATTTTGTTTTGATGCATAGATGGGAATTTTGTAATTTGTGTAATTTAGGTACTGTTCCAAAGAGCATTGTGACAGTTTTGTCAGTGTTTAGGAAGAGTTTATTTTTTTTTATCTGCTTTTCTACCTCTGTGAACTGGTCTTGGAGCAAAGCATCAAGCTGCGGTAGATCAGATTTGCTTGCATAAATTACTGTGTCGTCGGCGTACATGTGTACATTTCAGGATTTGCAGACATTAGGCAGATCATTTATAAATAATGTGAA